TTTTACTGATATGTATAAAGACTGCAAAGGCTGAAAAATCTTGAAGTCTGTATGAAATTGGGGGTAGTTTGAGGATTAAATTTTGTATGCTTTTTAAGCTCAAAAAGGGGGATTGTATTATACATGAGATCATATTATACATGAATAAATACGGTAATTGACAGAGTTTGTGATAAAATAAAATAAACACTTGACTCTATACAAAACTCATAGAGACCTGAGCAAAATGGCGGTGAGCCATGCATGATTTGCCACCATTTTGCTCAGGTCTCTGTATCCAGAGGCTTTGTTGAAAGGCCCACAGTGCTGAGAGGTGAAAACTTTACATTAATAAATATTCAAGCCTGAGAACTGAACAGAACATGTGTCTTACATTTGGTGACCCCGACGTGACAAAAGAAAACGTCTTCAATTGAAATCTAGAGTTATGAGCAAGAAACCGATCCAGTTTTCACACTGATTGTTTATGTAAAGTTTGCACCAAAATATGTTTCATCGCAGGAGATTTGTCGGGGTGCACTGTTTCAGCTTTGTCTTTCGTAACGTCGGGGTGACCAATTGTAAGAAATCTGTTCAGTTCAGAACGCTGAGGTATTAAAACATTACGTGTGTGTTTGATGTTTGGTGCAAAGTGTTTAATAACTGAATAGACTTGTTGATCACTCAACAAAAGCACAGATTTCACATTGATCTTAAAAACATTTCAAAATAAAAGTATGAAAATATGACCGTATATGGAAGGAATGGTTTCATTTATAATGTTTAGTTGTGACGGATGTGTTGCTCTGGTTTCTCCTCACCTGTTCTCAGTTCTCAGAGACAAAAACATAAATAATAGTAATTATAATATTTATTTTGTTTCTCGTAGGGTTGTTGGTGGATTCGAGGCGCTCACGGCCATGGAGAGCGTGGAGTGTGATCCAAAGAACGATAAACCAAAGGTGATTTTTATCTTATTTTTTCATGTTTAGTGAAAGTGTGAGAACAAAAATCCATTTCAGCTGCTGTTGAAGTTTCCACATTGCTGATATCAAAGGCAGTGGAGGAGAATAGGAGCTGCTATGACAGTTCTGTCACCCCAACACGGATCTGATAAAGGTCAGGTGGAAAGACACGAAAAGAAACACAATCCAGTGGAAAACAGCTAAAACAGATGCTACAGCTTAACCTTTTAGAAAAATGTGCTCTTACCAGTGAAATAGGAGCTAAAACTATCAAAACTGTAGCTACATTAGCAGCTAAATGGATGCTAACGCTAATTTCTGTAAAACATAAAATCACAGAGCTGAACTAACAATGCTGAAGCTGATTTATAAGAACAGTTTTTGAATTAAAGGTTTTTGTTTTTTTAAATAAAGGTAAAAATAAAATAAAAGTAAAAATTTTGAATAGAAAACTGTAACAAAGATCATATTGTCTCTAAGCTTTATGTTTTCAAAAGTTTAGAGTCCAAAACTGTCAACTACGAACAGTAAAACATTAAAATAACGTTGATTCAGTGTTTACCACATGAGCGTTATGGTTGTAATAAACTTTAACTTCAACTAATTATCACGTTCCTGAGCACCGATAACAAATACTAAGCTCTACCTGGTACTTCCTGTATAGAAACAGCATTTTAACACTTCTTATAGTTACTGAAAAATACTACGTGTATGACAATAAGTTTAAATAAATAAAACAAAAATACTATTAAAAGTAAAAGTAATAGTTTTTACTCACTAGCTGCGTTTCCAGTGACCATGAAAATGCGCAAATAAAAATTTCGAAAATTAATTTGCTCAGTGGAAACAAATTTTAAAAAACATGTATTGGTGTTTTTCGCAAAACTGCAATGGAAACACTTTTTTCGCATCACGGGAGTCACGTGATCAACAACTGGCTGTTTCTACTGGTGAAAAAGACGACGAAGAAGAAGATAACAGGAAGTAGAAGTAGTAGTAATATCACAGAAGTAGTATAAAATAGTAAACTCACCGACTACAATTTTCCAAAAACACAGCATACGTATCCACTCCCAAGGATAAGGGTCTTGTCGCTCGAAAGCCTCGATAAGACGCCATCGTCTCCTCTGATGATGAGCGCTAGTGTCGTGGTAGTAATATGCTATGTGTTTACATCCATCGCCGCCATGTTTGTAATGACTTATCGCGAGAACAAACGTATTCACGCGTGACTTTAATAGCATTTCTTACTTAATGAAAACACTGTAAATGCGAAACTGGTTTTTCTACATTAAGAGAATATCAAAAAGTTTTGCGAACATTTGTAATGGAAACGCAGCTACCGTTGAGTTTTGCTGAGTAGCTGCCGTCTTGAATTCCGAACTTTCCCACTTTCCAAGAAGGAATTCCCGCCTCAGGTGCGTTCCAGTTTAAATTTATGATTTGTCAGTGGGAAATTCGCACTTCCCAGTACAACTGGGCTGCAGCCAAATTAGCGGGTGAAAATAGAGATTTCACATAGTGAACTTTTGGCTACCTTTGAACCTGATGCAGCTCCACCTGGTGGTGGGAGGCTGTCATTACGCAGGTAAAATAATCTCATTGCATTGTGGGAGATGTAGTTCATGGCTTTAAAGCAGCTTTTTTTAAAGACATTAATACATATTTGAGGCTGTTGTGTGACACATCTGTTTCAGATTTAAATAAATCAGATGATCTGTTGTTTGTTTGTTTACAGTCGGAAATCAAGCTGATAAATACGACAGTGTTCGTGGACCCATACGAAGAGGCCGACGCACAGGTCTGAATCCTCTTAAACTTTTACCAACTCAGCTCATCTGTTTTACCTGTTTTTAATTTTATGTTTTTGATTTTCAGTGTATTTAATCAAATTATGAATTAATTCACGTCCAGTTCTTCTGTTTGATCTGGAAGCAGTTTTTTAGGTTGTTCTAACAGAAGTGGTCTGAGACAGAAGCTCTGAAGTAGCTTTTATCTCAGATTATTGTAGCTCTTCTAAAGACTCTTTGCCTCAGGTGCAGTTTAAATACCTGAAAGTGTTTGTTTTTAATCATCAAGCAGTTCTGAGCTGCTGTAATCATCCGGCTGTGCTGATGGTTTCTCCTCTGAGGGGTTTACATGAGTCGTGTTGTTTCAGATCGCAGCGGAGCGAGAGAAGGAGCTGCAGAAACAAGAGGAGGAGAAGCAGCAGGCCAGCCTGGTCCTGAGGAAAACAAAGGAGGAGCAGGCGCCCAAAACCTTCAAAGAAGGAGTGGGGAAATACATCAACCCTGCCTCAGTGTACGGACACACACACACAAACACACAGACACACACACGCTCACACAGACACACACACGCTTATTACAATTTGGTTAAACAGTTTAGCTTGTTAGTTTGTTGCGCTAGCGCTGAGCTCATACATATATATGTTGATAGCATCGGGGCTAATGCTAAAGCTAACAAGCTAAGCTGAGGTTGTTCTTCCATGAAGCAGCTCTGTTGTCCTCCATCCATATTTTCAGTTCCAGGCTGAGTCATTTCTACCTTCTCCTCTCTGTCAACGCTCTCTGGTTTCATTTAAAAGAGTCGATCATCAGATATTGTCCAAGATTAACCTTCAGGGTGGATATAGCTCGCTAGCAGCCTCGCACCGAGGACCTATCCACGTCATCATTTACCCAGAATGCTTTGTGTGTAAATAAAATGGCTCTGTCCACGTTAAAATGTATTTTAAAAAATTATAAAAACTAAACATCCTCCAGTATTTTTACAGTTAAAATAAATGTTTATTAAATAAAGTCTAACTGGACTTTTGAGGTTAAACAAATGTTCAGAATTAACATCAATAAATTACAAGTTAAGAAGGGCATGAACATATATCAAGCTGTGAGACTAAAGGATCGAACAGAACTGTGAATTTTCTGTATCGTTGCAGCTTTAATATTAAATATATTTATTTAAAGACATGATGCTTTCATCACAAAGTCTTAAAAAAAAAAAAACAAATCCTCATTTCTTTCCAAACCTGTGATGTTTCTGTGAAACTCCATGAGGTTCTAATTCCTCTCATAGTTCATCATCCTCAGCTTTACATCTTCTGCTGCAGGTGAAATATTCAGAACATTTTGTACCTTTTTTTTGTGTTGTTTGTTTTCCTAAAGACTCTGTTAGTAAGACACGTGTGAGACACGCTCTTATTGTGAAACACAAGAGTCTGACACGATCTTATTGTGAAACACAAGAGTCTGACACGGTCTTATAGTGACACACAAGAGTCTGACACGATCTTATTGTGAAACACGGAGAGTCCGACACGCTCTTATTGTGAAACACGGAGAGTCCGACACGCTCTTATTGTGAAACACGGAGAGTCCGACACGCTCTT